GTTCACCCTGTTGGACCATTTCTCCAGGAAAATGATGTACCCTGGGCATGGGCACAAGGTCAGCATCTCACCAGTGCAGTGGTGCCTGGACATCTCCTTTTGCTCCAGAGAAATAGGAGTGCCTGGGGCAAATTCCATTTGGATTGGAGAGTTCAAATATGCTGATACCTAATTGCATAATTTATTCTGTAATACTTTGAAACCTAGACTTCCTTCCTGTGCAAAGTTAGCTGGAAGCTTATTTGCCTCATGACTCTTAGTGTGGTTTGGAAGGAAGGGAAAAACCCCAAAAAACACAACCAACAAAATCCCCCTTGGCTTAGCCCCAAAACTATTTAATTTCAACTTCCTACCAGTAACCATAATGCTCTCTAAGGGAAGTTGCACAAGATTGCTAGGAAGGGAAAAAAACCCCTACAGTCTTGTGGCTGCGACACTGGTCAGAGAGTTAGGCAGCTTTGTGATAGATTACTAGTCTGACTGAGAGAAAATCTTTTTAAATTACAGGGCCCTCCTCTATTCACCAGAAAAACTGATGTATATCTTCCTCCTCTGGACATAATGGACCTTTACACCACTACTTAGACATATTACAAGCACTCAAATGGCAAGCCAGCCTAGATGTGTCAGCCTTTGGCCCACGTTAAAAAAATTACTGAGCCATTCAATAGCTCTTCTGTAATGAGGGAAGAATATATGCCTTGCCTCTGCAAGAAATTAAAACCTATCACTCATGTTCTGGAGCTAACTATCCCAGTAAAAACAGTAGATTTCTTTTGGACCCATATGCACTTCATTCACTCACAGTTATGAAGACCTATAAACCTGTCTGGTTAGGCCCAAAGCATCACACTCTGCTAGATGCTGAAACAACCTATGCTGCCAGCTACACACCAGAGGGTATTGTTTGATGCTTGATCTCTAAAGTGAGTCTTTATGACTCACTTGGTTACATCTTTGAGGGAACCGATGCTGATGGTCACAGTCTCTATCTCGCTACTCCCAAGAGTGAGTGCCTGTAAAGGAAACTGAAGTAAAAAGAGAGTGGACACAGCCTTCGTGGAAATGGGTTCAAAGAGCAGTGCCTCAGTGAGCTACAAATGACAGTTTGATTCTGTTTGTAGCCTTCTTTCAAACCAATCACTGGTTTTGTAGAGAGCTCTTAAAATACACTTAATTCCCTCTCAGTAACTTTTTCTGGATCATTTGCACAAATGAAGGACACAAAATCCAGGGAAAAGACACACTGATCCTTATTTCTCTGCATTTTTTATTTATTTTCCCCACCTAACATTTGCTCATAGATTGAAGGAGATGTCCTCCTGAGACACTAACAGAGAGGAGATGTTTCCTGAGAGACTAATAGAGAGACCTCTTGGAAATACATGTCACTGTTGGTGTAATGGGGGTTCAGCCGCATCCATAAAGCAGAGGTAGAACAGGTGGATTATATGTTGTGAAGTCGCACTTAAAAGTCATTGCTAGATAAGTCTGAGATTTCAGCCTTTTCCAGTACTCCAAAGACACATACAAAAGGTACAATTGCTGAATAAATATTTCTGAATATTGCACCTTCAATAATTGTGTCGCTGTGCTGCCCAGAAGTAGGCTATCAGATTTTCCTACCAGAGGTTTTCCTGCTAAAGATACCACCCTAAGCTGACACCTTGCAAGGGAAGCTTTTCAGTAAAAGTTCTTCACTGCAGGATGCTGGACAGGTACCAGAAACGTCAAAGGGTCGAAATTGTCATGCGTTGCTACAGTTCAGCCAGCAGCTAGAGTGATACTATCTTTTGGATACAGCCAGTATTAAGCTTCTCACCAGAGCTGTTCGTTTCTCTGTCCAAAGTGCTTTCTGTAGGCTTACAAGTGTTCCATTAGCACTATAAAACTTTCTGACTTCTAAGAGCATTCCACTTTCCTAGCATTCCATCCTCCTCTCCCTTACTCCTGGCAGCTCTCACTGTTTTCTAAGTATTTAGTTTGAGAGCTAGCTAGAGCTGTTGTGTGCTTGATAATTCTTGTGGGTCCCTTCCAACTCTACTTATATATGATCCTGTGCCATGTGCTCTAAGAAAACTCTGCTTGAAGAGGGAAGTTGGACAAGATGACCCACTGTGGTCCCTTCTAACTTTAACCATTCTGTGATTTTGTGACTTTGCACTCATGACGCAGCACAAAAAAACACTTCTCAGTGAACAAATGGGTGGAGAGAGAGAAGTTAGCTGTAGTCAACATCCTACTTTTGAAGAATGGATAGTGGCATTGCTGCTTAAAGACTGGGAACAGAAAAAACTCCAGGTAAATTTAGCAGAGATAAGATATAGAACAGCTCCTCAATGAAGGCCTTCTGATACAAGGAGTACGAAAAGGCACGTCCACCCCGTGTCCAGGGCTTCCACAATTTATGGTCTGATCTGAGAACCACCCACCCCCAGGTCTTCCCCCCAGGCACACCTCCTTGGAAACTGAGTTGGGGATCCTAAGACCCCTTTCTTCCTCATCTTCCTCTTCTTCACAGCATATACTGTCTTTGCAACTTCTCCGAGGTTCCAGGCTTGAAGGTTGCTTTGACTATGATGGCATCTTATTGATCAGGCCTGGGGTGAAAATGTTCTTAAACAGGGGCTATTTACTACAGTACTACCTTGAAAGGAGCCTAAATAGGCCTAAAGAATTCAGAAAATTTGATATGAAATGGGGGAATAGGGTTTGGTAAGTGTTAACTATAATTCTAAAGTGTAACAGACTATAAAGCTACATTAAAATCTAAAAAAGCTAAAAATCCTAAAAATTCAAAGGCATCAGCATGAACACCTAAACACTGGCTGAAGTACAAAGGCTACAATCAAGCAGTGTTTCAAAAGCTAAAAGGAAAGGATGAAATAAAGGTGGCTTTGTCCTTGGCAGGGTTGAGAAAGGCATCCAGGGGAGTTGTACCATGAAGCCTGCAAAAAAAAGCACAAGGAGAATTGTGCTAAGCATAGTGGATGAAAAATGTTACTGCCAAAGCCAGTTACTACAGTGGTATTGATTACTGCGATCATTGCCAGTAAATGTTAGCTGTGCACAGGAACAGTTCCATGTATGTACACTGCAGAGACTGTTTGGAGGGATAGCTTCTATTTGCATCCCTGAAAACATAGAAGAGGAGAATTCACCAGCACTACTGAACTCCAGGGCAAAGCACAATCTGCCAAGTTTTAAGCACAAAATCTGAATTAAGGATACATGTTCAAACTACATTTTAGGGTGGCAGCAGCTAACAGAAAGTTACAAATGTTTCCTTAGCCAGGAGGAAGGCAGCACTTCAGTTCCTGACTCTGAAAAGGCTGAGCAAAATTACCCAATTCCCCTATTCTCAGTGGGAAACAAAATGAAACTCCAAAAGAAACCTAGCTATCTGGAATAATGGGGGCGATAACTAATCTTTTCAGTTTTGACTTGTATGATATCCACCTTCTAACCACCTGTGCCTGCAAGGACTGCCAACCCCAGTACCTTAGATCTGCAGAAGGCAATCCATCTGGGAAAGATTTGCAGTTGGCAACAGGTGAGAGGTCAAAAAAATCAGTAAATTATGTACTTATGGTCTAGAAATATGAACAAGCAGTAAATCTGTGAAAACTTTACCACTAAAAATTCTAAAAAGGGCTTCACCCAACGCTATAGATTACTAAGGAGAGCAAATTGTCAGCACCCAGAGTGTTTCAGAGCTATGGAGAAAGTGTTGAAAGACAAGTGGTATGCTTCAGCAAGGACTGAGTGTGTTCATATCACAGAGGGAAGCAAAATAGATCCTGGGCATGGTATTCAGGAAGCAGAAGGCAGCTGAACTTAATATGTGAAAAAACAAACCTTTTCTTTCCAGGACAAAAAAAGACCTTCCCTGGGGCATGGGTAGGATCTTCCCAAGGGATCCACATTACCTCATCTGGAAAGAGGTGTGCACTGGGTTCACTGGGATGGAAAACTTCCATAACGAATTTTCCGAGCAGACTTCGCTTTTGGTTGATCCCACGAAAAATCCCTCTTCGCCCTGCTGTAGTAGTGGCTGTCTCTTTCCCACACTGGAAGCAGTAGTGTGGTAAGTTGTGCCTCTCCTCTTGCTTTTGGGAGAAATACTGCTTTGGAGCAACATGATTTTCACTTCTCTATCTGACTGTACATCAGTCCCACAGATGTTTTAGGCTGCATTCAGCAGAGTAACTCTAAAATGGGCAATGGTGTTGTCCCAGTTTAAATGAGACAAGGGTCTTTTGCTGAGGATGAATTAGGAGGAAAAGACTCAAACTTCTCTTTCCAAGCAATTATAAATCCAAAATTAAGAGGCTTTGATTGAAGGAAAACAAATTATGGAAAAGGGAAAATAACAGCCCTTTATTAAAAGGTATGTGTGTATTAACAGGAACACGAAAAAAACCAAGTAAAATAACTAAGTAATACTCCTATACCCACCAATAATCCCCTTCAAGAACAAAACCGATAAACCGGCAAAAAGAAAATAGTTCAATTTCTTGCACCCTTTGGTGCAGTTCCAACCACAGTCAGCAGGGGGCGCCGTCGGGTCACTGGAGATGCAAAATTTGTAATGTCCTGTACCATTCACCAGGTGGCGCTGTTGGATCACTGGAGGAGTAGAACTTGTAATGTCCAGTGCCCGTCACCAGGCGGCGCTGTGAGATCCTTGGCTGCCACCAGGTGGGGGCAGGGGGAAGAAGGGGAAGGAAAACAACAGCAATAAAACAGAAAGTTCTCCCAATGGAAGAAAACTCACAAACTTCAGCTGATTAGGGTCCGTTGTAAGCAGGGCTTGCAGTCAGCCAGAGTTGAGCCAAGAGCAGCAGCCAGAGTTCCCCTCCGACAGGAAAGAGACAAAGGAACCCGGCAGTGTCTGCAGCCCGCAGCAGCCTCTCACCCCGGCAGTGAGAGAGACTCTCCTCCCCCCCCAGCCTCCACCCCCTTCCAGTCACACACCAGCCACCTCCCCCCTTCGTTGTCAAGGAAACAAATCTCGACCATTAGGGGCTCGGGCCAATTCCTTTGTTCAACTAAATGGGCAATATACAGAGCACACACACACGGCAGGAGGAAAGGAAAGAAAAATTCCTTGCTAAAATTATGAACTATGACAGGTGTGTTCAGCTCTACATTCCCTGTTTCCACCAGCTTACTAGTGCTGTGCTTGTCAGCATGAACTGCCCCCAGATCAGTTAAAAGGGCTCATGTGCACTTCCAAATGCCATCACACAGGCTTAAGCATACTACTTTCTGAGCAAGCAGGTCCCTGCTCTGCTTTGCTCTCTGGAAAAAAAAAAAAAAAAAAGGTGCCTGTTGGATCCTCCCTGCACAGCTGGATTTGATTTTCTGTGATTTGTAGTGGGCTAACACTGAGGTTTTTCTTTTTGGGTAATAAAATCACTAGGTTGTATGCTATTATTTGAAAACTGACTCCAACAGTGTTTCAGAAGGCAAAGTGTTTTAACAAGCATTCACTAACCTTACTTGCTATTTATTTAAACCAGTAATTTATGCTTTAAAAAAAGAGCGCACCATGTTGAAAAAGCTGGAGGGAAGTTCCCCTATAGGCCAAAAACTCTTCAGCTCAACTTCCTTAAGAGAAAAGAATCCATTCTGCCTCCTCACTTGGAGGGTAAGCTGTTCGCGGCCTGTCTGGTGTGATCCTTCTGGCTCTTGTTATTTTCTGCTTTCCCACTGACCTAGGGAGTTTGTATACAAACTATGCAAGATCTTGAAGCAGCAGACTACTTTATAGTATTAAAGACAGTAGCAGTAGTGAGTGGTTTCCCATGTCCACGTCATCCTAAGCCTGTGTGGGTAACTATATGCTTACTATGGAATTGTTCACATCCTGCACTGCTTAAATAAAGAGTACTTATATGTAACCAGAGGGCAACTCTCTGGTGTCCCTTCCCCTTTCAGCCATGTACAATGGCATTCTTTTCTGTGTATCTATGCAAATATAAAACTTTTCTCTGCAAAGGGCTTAAAGGTTTAGACAACATTCTTGATTTTCGCTTTTTTCCACTCCCCCAAGACTTTAGCTGTGTGTTAGCAGGAAGGATAGAGAAGTGCAACACAATCAAGCAATGGACCCTTTGCTCATTGTTTTGGCTTAAACCCCCAAGTTATCAGAGTTTCAAAAACCCCATCCCTTTCTCAAGCTAGTGTAAGTGTCTCTGTATGGACTCAGAGAGGGGCACTGAAGGCATTCCCATGCAATCCTGTTTCTGTGTGCTGGAAGTGTGTGCAGGTCTCCAAACATGAGAACTCACCGGTCACAGTGCCAAAGGCAGACACCAGTGTAAAGCTGGTATGCAAGAAGGGCAAAGCATCTTCAGTGGACTTCCTGCACTACAAACAAAACAAAAAAGCACTGGCAAGATTCTCATGAGAATGAATCACACCTGACTGGGGTTATAACTGGTCATATTTGCTGCAAATACTTCAACTTTCACACTTCTACTTATTACTTTATACTGTCAGCTACTTTCCATGTCATTGACAGGGTATATGCTTTGCCATCAGCATCTATAGCAATAGTACTTCCAAGATTGATTGTTTCATGTCTTTTTTTTCCCCAGTTGTTTTTTAATTGTTCAGAAGCAATTTTTTTTGCTGCCATAACCTTGTCTCCCCATGTAAAGCCTCCTCTATATGAGCAGAAACTAGCGTACAAACTCAGATCAGTGAGGAACCACTGCTGATGATTCTGTTTTAAATACATTTTATGAGATACTTTGCAGTCTGTTTTGTCAGTGCGTTTTTATTGGAAAAAACTCTTCCAGATAGACCCTGCCATGACATTTCTCTAAAGTGAAGGCACTTGTATACTTTCAGCCTTGCTGCTTCAATCACCCCAAAGTCTATTGGATGTCTGAGTAAAGGCTGTTCCAGGTTATGTAACCATTCTGGCAAAAAAGAGGGACTGTAGTCTGTGATTTCAAGGACTTTTCAGTCTCAGTCTTCATCAGTGATCACTGAAGGAAAGACAAGATTGAGCACTGTATTTGCTTCTCAAAGGGACAGGTGGAGAACAAAATGTATTGTTGTGTTCATGTCTTTACATGTGAAGTTGAGAATGGGAACAAGTATTATAAGCAGGTGAGAATAGAAGTAAGTATTTCAATCAAAAGAGGAGGTGTTGATATGTGGCTTTACTGCTTATAAATCTGGATAAATACCATGTTGAGTTGCATATTATTGGAATGCCTTAGTGAAAACTTTACATAAAAATTTATTAAAATTACTATGTATATGACCAGAGTTTAGATTTGATTTTGATTGCCTGGAGGGGAGATGTTGGGTGGAGACAATGAAAAGCAATATAGGTGAAAGTGATTAACCAATATGCTTTTGATGTGAGAAATGTATGAGATCAGTAGAGAAGGGAGGCCTAATTTTCCCTTCCCCCTCAATTTTGTGCAAAGTATTTGACAGGTTCTTAGGTTTAGTTTTCACCAAAGTGGACAGTTAATATATAACCCTATTGATAAATATATATACCTTTAAAAAAGAGGATGAAGGGAATGGTTAAATTGATGATTCCCAAAATGCGGTCTGCAGCTAATATGCAGAGCCATAGTTAGCATTAGCAGTTTGGAGCTTCTCAACTGTAGACAATGGTATTCCGTGAGAAAATATGACATTCGAAACAGTTTGAAAGCATTTGTTAAAAACTAGGTGACTGAATGAATGAAGATAATTCACTCAAAAGCTAGCTGAAATGATCACTGACTTGCTGAAAGTTGCCATTAAAAACTTTCGGTTTTTTACAATCTCGAAAATCTGGAAAAGAGTAAGCTTTTGGTTCACCTTCTACAAATAGAGGTGTCAGCTTATGCTGATATAGAATAACCTAATTTATTAATGAATTGGTGTTTGAGCACTAAACAGATAGCAAGGTGATCATTAGCCTTGTATTTGATAAGGTAGTTTGGAGGAAGAAGAGTAACTTAAAAAACTTCAACTGCAGTCCATATGACTGCAGCCAGATAGCAGGAAGAAAATTTCCAGCTAAAGGTTACTTTGGAAACCTCTGCCCATGGCTTCTACTGTTTTAAGTCCAGGCATGCAGATGCAGATGCCTGGAGTAGTTTAGTTATCCTTGCCTTGCCACATAACAGGGGCCAGGAGCAGGTCTTCTGTCAGGAATCTTTCAGCACTCCATTTTTCTGTTTTTTCCAGAACTGTTTTTCTTTTGTGAAGAAAATTAGTGGGGAGAACAAAACTGGGAGCTTGCTTTGAAGGTTTTGAAGGCTTTTTGACTTGACTAGTAACTAAAGCCATATGCATAAAAGAGAATAATCATTCTCTTGGGAACCTAAGCCAGCCTGCTGTTCATTTTACATCAATGCCAGCTTCTATACTTATTTACTCAAAATGAATGATGAATTCCCATTGCCTTCAGTACTGTTGCTTGAAAGCCTTATGTCTGGTCTTCGATTTGGTTGTCTGTTTGAGTTAATGTTATGTCTGAAGTGTTATTTACCTGCAGTTTATGTATCTAAAAAAATATATGCAGGAACATCATAAAAGGGAAACTGTCAGTAAATCAGAGCAAAATCATTTTTCCGTTTTAGAAGAGATATATTGTTTGTTTGAAAAGGGCAAGAGTAAGAACCAGCTTAGTTTTCACAACTCAATTTTGTCTTTGTTAAGAAAAAATGTTTTTGCTTTATTAACTTTTTTCTTCTTTTTCCTTGTAATTCTGACCATTATTAGGATTCCTTCAATGTATACACCTGATGCTTTAGGTGCATTAGGTAGTTAGCAGCTCCATTACTGAAGGCAGCAGAAACCTGTTAAGGAAAGACTGAATTAACAGGTGTTTCTTCAAGCCATAAGTTGCTGAGGAGAGTTATAAGATGTCTTGAAGCATTGCTGTATAGAAAACAAGGGAGTATACTTTTATTAATATCCATGATTCTTGGACCAGCAGCGATGGCTTTATACTTCTGCAAAAGCAACAGAGGGAAGACATTAGCAAAAAAGAATAAAGCAAGGCAAATGAAGAATTAAAACATATCTCCAAGACAGGGTGCAGAATCTTAATAGCTGGAGACCTTTAAAAATGAGGAAGACATGCTCTTTCCCCAAGGCAGGTACCTTGTGTACTTTGTGTAACAGATGTGTGCTGCTATCATAATACGGAATAAGGACAGACAACTCCAACAGCTTTGCTAATTTGGCTTTTGTTCTTAAAGTAAAAAACCAACACATCAGACAGTAGTAGTTAAATACATACAAGCATTACTTGTACAAAAAGTTATATAAATACAAGTTTGCTGTTCTGTTTTCTCTTTAGAGATTCCTAAAATAACCGGCAATCTTTATCTTACTGAGATGCTGCCAAGTCACAATTCAGAAGACAGACATGTGAAATTAAATCAACACAGTGGCCTCTCCAGATCAGATCCTTCATGTTTATCCTGTGCACAGTTGCACAGATACTATGGAACATGTGATCACCTTAACATGTTTTGCTTTTAAACAAAAGAAAATACTTTCCCAAATACTTTGCTTTTTGTTAACTAATGTACCAGAAATTTCCATCACATCGTCATCATCATCATTGTTATTATTATTAAGGAATTGTCCTTCATTCCATGCGTAACTACTATTTCACAAGTTAAAAACATAGTTCCTTCCTCGTGTCATAGTTTATAAAGCACTCTGTGCACAGTGAAGCAGATCCCCAATTAAATGCAAGCGCTATTAAAATGAAGAGAAATACACTATTACTGTGGATTTTAGAGGAACAGAATTCTGGGGAGATTTAAAAAAAAAAAGCCAAAATAGTTTTATCTTTACAATTATTAATATTGCACTTTTTATACAAGAAATTCTAATAAATATACAGAAAAGATACACATTTACATACACAGAAAAGAATTATTCTTTTTTAAATAAAAAGTTACACTGGTGCTTAGCAACATTATTTCTTGAAAACTCATTTGTACTAAGAGCATTCATTGCCAGTTGTGTTTCGAAATAAGTCAGTTTGAGACAGCTTAATGTCATGAACCTGGCACTGACCTCAGAAATAGACTCCTAGTTTTGCTGAAAAATCCACATGTCATGGAAGTTGCAGCATAGCAGAACTTGAACAGCGTTTCATTAGCATACCACAACACACTAGCACTGCCAGGGGTTACAGAAGAGGCACAACCATTCTCTTTAATTTAGAGGTCTTGAACCAAAACCTGATATCCAGGTAGTTCTTTAAAGCTCCACAATTCTCAACCCCCTACTTTGCAGGTTTTCCTCCAATTTTAGGGCCGTATTCTAAGTAGAGCAGAGAATGCACAGAACTTAAAGCGTGGAGCACTTCACTGGCTGAATAACCACTGCAGCTGGCCAGGAGGAAACACTCACAACCTGCATGCAAAATTGTGCTGTGGGTGTGATGTTTGAGTTCCACTTTTTAGATTGTATCTTCAGGGTGTTATACATGGACTTAAATATCTGTAGCTTTAGAACACCTGTTTTGTTGTGAGAGGCAGTTGGAGAGGAGCAAGTTTGTTAAAAATTATTTGCATTAGTCCCCTGGGGCTGATGCTAAATCCATTCTGTTTCTACTGACTGGGAACAACCATGAGAAATCAGAATCAAGCTCTTTTCTACTACATGTCCAAAAGGCTTGGCTGTCAGGAGAGGGAAATTTTAGCATTATTAACATTTAGCATTATTTAGTATTAGGAAAACCCACTTTTTCAAGTTTCTTTCCAAAACTCCAGGCCTGAAAGCACCTGCACTCCAGGAAATGGTACTCCTCTCTTTTCTAATTAAGTGTTAGTAGGATGCACTATGCAAAGTATCTCCTATTACCACAGAGAGTTTCTATCTTTCCTGCCTGTGCTGATTAGGGAACAGCATTTGCAGGTTTGTACCACACTCTGTCAAACAGATCATACTTTCTCTCCTTTGCCTGGATAATAATTAACATCATCACCTCACCTCTGTGCTGAGGGCAACCCTTCAATCCCCACTTCTCCCTCACAAGCTCAAATTTGGAACATTTTCAGGTGTCTTTTGGATCCACTTATAGATCATTGTTCAACTTCCCCAGATACCAGATCCTCAAAGATCACAAGGATGTTCCACTGAAATAATTTCCAGGCCTGATGTGAGAAGGAGAGAGTGGTTTAGAAATTAAAAAGAGTTACAATCTTGGATGCAACAAATAAGTTTATAAAGCAGAATCATATGTTTGTGTTCTCAAGGTAGTCTAAGACAGCTGAAGTATCCGTATAATGCACAGTTTAGTTTAGCCTTTTTTTTTTCTCCAGTACACTATGACAAGTCAAACTGAGGGGATTGAGTGCATCCTCAGTCAGTTTGCAGATGACATCAAGTTAGGTGGGAGTCTTGGTCTTGCTGGAGGGAAGGAAGACTCTGCAGAGGGGCCTTGACAGACTGGATTGGTGGGCTGAGGACAACTGCATAAGGTTCAACAAAGCAAAGTGCTGGGTCCTGCCCTTGAGCCACAACAACCCCATGTAACAATGCTACAGGCTTGGGGAAGAGTGGCTGGAGAGACGTTCAGCAGAAAGGGACTTTAGGAGGGCTGGTCAGCAGCATGAACATGAGTCAGCAATGCCCAAGTGGCCAAGAAGGCCAATGACATCTTGGCCTATATCAAGAATAATGCGGCCAGCAGGACCAGGGAAGTGATTGTACCGCTGTACTTGCTGCTGGTGAGGCTGCACCTCATATCCTGTGTTCAGTTTCGGGCCCCTCACTACAGGGAAGATGCCTAAGTGCTGGAGCATGTCCAAAAAAGGGCTACAAAACCAGTAAAAGGTCTAGAAAACACATCCTAGAAGGAGCAGCGGAGGGAGCTGGGGTTGCTCAGCTGGGAGAAGAGCAGGCTCAAGGAGTATGTCATTGCTCTCCACAACTACCTGAAAGAAGGTTCTGCTGCAGTGGAGATTGGTCTCTTCTGTCTCATTTCAAATGAAAAGACGAAAGGAAATGCCCTCAAATTGTGCCAGGGGAGGTTCTGATTAGATATTAGGAAAAAAAAAAATCACTGAAAGAGTAGCTAAGCATCAGATTAAGTCACCTAGGGAGGTCGTGGAGTCACCATCAAAGTGTTCAAGGGGCATCTAGATGTGGCACTTTGGGATATAGTTTAGGGATGATTATAGTGGTGCTGAGTTGATGGCTGGACCAAGTGATCCTGAAAGTTTCTACCAGCCTTCATGATTCTGTGATTCTGTAATGTGATGCTAGGTCTTTACTCTAGTCCTCTTCCTTACCTGTCTCTTGGTGTGTCTCCTAGGCATGTACATGGATAATGGGGAAGCCCCACTCTTCTCATGCCCATTTCTGGTGGCATTGGTCTCTCTGAATCTTTATGGTCTACCCTCATGACCATGTTTTGCTGCATTCTGTCTCCCAGATTCATAAAAGGGAAAACTTTTCAAGACCCTTTACAACAATGATTTGGTAAACGATGTTCTTTTTTTTCTTTTCTTTTAAAGGGAAATAAATAAATAAAATGAAAAAGATATTTCCATTCCATTTGTTTTTTCTGCAAAAGCCCTTGCCTCAGTGAAGCAAAGCTGTGATCCCCTTGTTCCTCCATTTTCATTTTGTCTGTCTTCAAGATTTTCCACAAGTCCCACAGCAACGTGACTTAAACTGGGTGAGCTGGCAGAGTTTCAGCTGCTTCACTTTCTCACAGTACCTTGTAGTGTCTCTGCATTCCACTGCCAAAGGGGAAACAAAAAGAAGAAATGTTGATGAAACAAGGAAAGAAGGATTCCTTACCTGAGGACATTTCCTTGGGTGGTCAAGAGGAGAACCTTTGTATTGGGAGGTCTTACTACAAACATGCACTTGACTTGCTGCAAAGATTGACTGTGGACTGCAAGTAGCCGAAGGCTCAAAAAAGAATGTGTTGGGCATCGTTTGCTTTTGGAGCTTGGGCAGAGGGCTTCTGAGGCTGCTCCAACCCTGTGTTTGTCATCTACCATTTTAGAGAGGCTCTAGGAGTTTCCTAACAGTTGATAAACCAAAGATGAAGTAGTAAATAAAACTGGAAACTTACTTTAACAGAGTAGCTCAAAGACACTTTGGCCTACTTCTTACATTTGATGAGCCAGTGTGTGGGAGTGCCACCTCAGCTTACCTGGTGTTGTGTTGTGTTTTTCACACGTGTTGCAGAACACAGCCCAGTATGAAGATGTTAAGACACTTTTTGAATCCCCCTGGGGCTTAGATCCTGGTAACACTTGGACAGGTTTTGAGCCCACAGCCTCCTGCTTTTTTAGCTCCAGGTTGGAAAACTGTCCAGTATCCCTGCAAGATGTTGGGTGGGTTATTGGCTGAGGGAGTCCCACTTCCCATGCCAAGGATGGAAACGGGAAACATCACACGGCAGTTGTACAGCTCTCTCCAGTTATGTCTGTGCCAAATAACTCCAGCGTTATTTATTTATGGGACATTTCCATGTAGCAGAAAGAGGGTGGAGTGACAGCAAAAGTCTTGCTTGGTACCTGTAAGCTCCCTCGTCCCTTCAATTTCCATTAGGACCCCCCAAACTCATCATGAGTTTGGACACATGTAGTCCACTTTGCCTCTATTGAGAGGCAGTGTCAGAGATGGCATGACAAAGGCAAGCACAGTGATTCTGTTACTGCATCTGCAATGATTGCACAGCTTGCAATTTAGAGGATGGGAGCGTCATTTCCAAACTGGCATATCTGTTCTCTTTAGTTGGTATGGGTTTTTTTTTTTTAATATTAGTAACTTTTCCAGTCATTTGGCAGGTCCAATTTGTTGCCTGTCACCTGAAAGAAAGCAGATTTGCCTGGATTTCCCACCATCGACCTAGTTACCGTATTTGGACTATAGCCATATGTTTGATTGTGATTCATGTTTTTCTTTCCATCTGTACCATTAACTGAAAGTTAATCATAGAATGGTTTGGGTTGGAAGGGAATCTTGAATATCATCTAGTTCCAAGCCCCCTGCCATATGCAGGGACACCTTCCACTAGACCAGGTTTTTCAGAGCCCCATCCAAGGTGGCCTTGAACACTTCCAGGTATGGGGCATTTGTAACTTCCCTGGGCAACCTGTACCGCTGCCTTACCGCTTTCACATTAAAGAGTTTCTTCCTAAGATCTAATCTAAACCTACTGTCTTTCAATTTGAACCCATTCCCTCTTGTCCTGTCACTACATGCTCTTGCAAATAGTCTTGCCCCATCTTTCCTGAAAGTTCCCTTCAGCTACTGGAAGGCTGAAGTTAGGATACCCTGAAGCTTTCTCTCTTCCAGGCTGAACAACCCCAATTTTCTCAGCCTTTCCTCATAGGTGAGGTGCTCCATCTGTCTGAACAACTTGGTGGCCCTCCTGTGGGCTCACTCCAGAATTATTTCTCATGCTATTAGCAAGGGGACACAATCCCAGGACTAACACCATTTCCAAAAAACCCTACAATGGGCAGCATTCCTCTCTGGGACACTGAGTTTTGAATACTGGATTTTGCAGATGTTCAGGCTGGAAGTTCCCCAGGATGCCCAGCTGCAAGATCCAGTGCTGCATTTCTGAGAGACAACTCTGCCTTCTTTCCTACCCCTGCACTGCTCTGCATCCCCTCCTCTCAGCAAAGTACCATTTTCACAGGGTGTGACGTTGCAGCGCTGCCAGTTCGATGGTCTCGGCCTCCAGGAGCAGTGATGCTCCATCACAGGCTTGTTGGTGCGGATGTGCACGCAGTCGATGCGCCGGGACTGGAAGCCGTAGTTTCCACACGTAGCTGTGCAGACAGTCCACAGGCTGACCCTCCAGTGCACACCACAGATGTCAGTCCAGCAGTTCTGCGTGCTCAATGGCCTGTGGGCACGAGGGAGGGAAGGATGGGGGAACAGCAAGCATCGCATATCCCAAAGGTAATTCACTCAGAGCCACTGCATGGATTAGGTCTCCAAAGGGTGCAAGTGAGGTAACAGTTTTTAACTGCTCTCAAGGACCAGACCCTCAGTGGATGCACACTGGCATACTAATACTGGGTTAAATGACCATTTGAACTGTTTGAGGATTTGGCTGAAATGTCTTCTTCACGAGGAGCCAAACCAGAGGTCTGCTGAAAGATGCAATGAGTGGTGACCAGTGTGGTCCAGCAGCACTTTATAACTTTTTATGGCTTTACAACCAGTTGGAACAAAAATGATTCTCTGAAACCCCTCTTTTCCTTTCAACACAGTCTCACAGAAGATGCAAAGGCAAACTTGGTTCATATGTATTTGTCACACAGATAATGAAAATGCATGACTAGGAACCAATGAGCCAATTACATTAATTTTCAGTCATGATCAGTCATGACTGGCATACCTAAGGTAAAGTCAATGTCTTTACAATGTTGACAGTGGAGTTTGCCCCAGTTAGAGTCTGTGTTTAAATAAGTGAGAAGAAGAACTAGTAGCTTAAGGAGAGGTAGCACAGCCTTTCAGTCAGATTTGGCATGCACGGAAGACTTTCCAGACCCACTGGCACCTGGATCTCCTAGGAACAAATAAGGAAGCCTAGGCTGAAGCCTGATGAGATTCATAACAAATAACTGCACAGATTGCAGAACAACCTCTTTGTTACATAGGGGAAACCTGTAAGTTGTCAGTTAAGTCACCAGTCCATTCAATATCTCTGAAAAGGTTGTGGATTCATACATAAGGGATGTCCTACCTTGGTAAGGCACTGCATTGATCAGATGATACAGAAGTCCCATCTTTGGTCTGGCAAAATATCTGTCTGTGCTGTACAGCCAGTCGTGGTCCAATGCAAGGCCCATTACACTGTGAACAGAGAAGAATCACTTCAGGGAGGTAAAAGGCAGGGCCACGTTCCCACTTTGTAAGACTGCTAGGGAAATAAACTGTACACTGCCATTCAGTGACTGTTGAGATTTCAAGCACTTTCTGTGTAGGAGAATTAGAAACCTTTTGGGTTAAGGCAGGAGTAAAACAGCTGATGGGAATCTGAGGAGTCTCAAGGACTAAGTGTTTTGAGAACACGACAAGGACTGGACATGTGCAGGAACGAGAAAAACAGCACCTGCAGATGGGAGTCTGAGTTGAACCTGCCAGGAGGCATGTGAATAGAAGTGTTGTGGTTAGATTTAGAAGAAGAAGAATTTAGAAAATAAGATATGTTGACTAACTAATAATAATCATGTGAACAGTGTGAATTTTGTGTGTGTGACCAATAATAGGTTAAGTAGTCAAATATGTGGTAGTTATTGCATTGTATAAAAGTAAATGTAATTTCCAATAAAGATGAAGCTTCCAAAACATCATATTGGTATGTGTGAAGTTTCCATTGGGTCTCACATGTGTTTACATTTCTGCACCTCTGCAGGCATTGAAGGCTGAGTGTCCAGTCATCTTCTGCTCTACCTCACTCTCTTCCAGCAGCACTAAAACTGCATGTCTGTAATCTGCTCTGTAGATTCGTTACCTCTCCTCTACAATAGTTCAATCTTATAATACATCTGCTAGGGCAAATTAAATGCTCTTGTGACATTAGCCAAGAGCCTATGATCCATACAGTAAATCTCAATATACTACTTTTAATGTGCATTTTGCAGCTTGTACAACTTATGGCCAAATAACTAAGAATGCATTGAACCAAGAACATATTCCACTCCATTTATTAACTTTAAAGCACTGAAGGACAATAAACAAATGCAGCAAGCATGATAGACACAGCAAATGTGCAAGCTTGCTTCAGTACTGAGGCTACCCTAACCTATTCAAACTTAATAACACATGTTTCTGTTTAACTTTTATCATTTCCTTCAATTAAAATGCAATTAGCTATAGATACGAAGCATGTATTTGTGCCCTTTTAAAATTATATCAACTGTTAGGAAACTGTTTTTCTAAGTATCTGAAAATTATGTTCAAGAACAAATTGAGGGTTGAATAGTGGAATGTTAGTGTGAGGCAGGAATTTTCACCAGGGCAGGGCTGCTAACTGATCCCTCTGCCACCTTCACCCCCTCATCAGTGGGAGCCCTGTTTCACATTACCACGCACTTCTCAAAAAGTACTCCCTTCCTCCTGCTATTTCTTCCCTCCCTGACAACTGGGAAGAGAAGCAGTGACTGCCAGGCCTCCAGCTGGTCCCAGTCAATGTTCTTGCTGGAAATACCATTCACTGGAGCACTTCTGCAGTATCTGCAGGGGTCAGCAGTCCTTACCACCATCAAGCCTGAGTCACTAGTTTAAAAATAGTATGGGATTACATAGTGGAGACCAAAATGCCAGTAACATTCAATGAAGGAAAGGAATTAAATTCTAGAGGTGAGGGTAGAGTAGGTAGTCTGTTTATTTTCTTTGCAAACTAGGAAAGTTGGTCACTACACTGGGGCAACACAGACCTGATACCTCACTAGACTATCAAGGAAGTCACTGAGTCAGTGAATGTTCCTAACTGTGTAACAGTCTTCTGGCTTGGAGACCGAGCAGTATAGAATCATGTGGAACTTCTTTTTCTTTTTTTTTTTTTAAGCTATGTAGAAGAAATACTATATGACAATGCACAGAGGTTAGGTCTAAGAAATTATTTCTGAATTGATTGTCTCAGCTGAGTGTGATGTCATGGGGAATAATACATATGTTCTACATAATGCTTTACAAATATTGAAGAGGTAATTGTGTTTTTGCAAGGATAATCCAGTCCTTTCCTGGAATTCCACAGGGAGTGAAAATTTGCTTCTTTCACACGAAAGGATAACTTCAAGCTTTACTCGTAAATGTAATACAATAACTCAATTACCTTTCAAGAGTTAAATGAAGTTGTTTTCAAGTAGTAAACAATAACATGAACAAAGTAATAAAACTTAACGCAACACAATCTGCAAAGAGAGAATTTGAAGATCGGCAAAGCAGCATGAAGTATTCTGAAAATGTTTCTAGCCCTCCATTCTGCATTTCATCATGAAGCAAATCAAGAAAACTCACACTTTTGGGCATTTTCAGGCAACACTAGCAACTTTGTAAATATGGGTTATTATAAAATCTTTCTGCCTCAAACCTATCACAATCATCAATCCTGACTCCTGCCAGCCAAGGAGTCAGTGGCTGGTAAGGGAACTTAAGACTTAAAGAAAGCTATTTCCCAGATGTGTCACCTGTCACTATAAGAAGGAACTGCAGACTTTTCCACTGGGGATGATACGGGTTTTGCAGTAAATGTCCTGTTCACAAACAACATTTCTAGGGAAGCTACAGAAATCCAAGCAGGTCATCATACACAGAGTTGTAAGAGCTGAGCAAATTAGTTGCCTCCTCAAAAGTCTGCAAACTATAACCTAAAAACACCAGGTTGCAAAATCACTTTACTTATTTTCTGTCTCTTTGTCCTAGTCCATAGTATGAGGCTGTCCTTGGACTGCTGCATTGTTCCTTACCTGGCTCCAGGAGGAGGCCACCCACTCAACACAGGGCTGCCTGTTACAGTTCTGTGTGTCCACAGGGCGCTTGGACACCTGGGCACAAGCCTCATTTGACATTGGAACAGAGCTGCCTTTTGCTGTCAGGCGCTGACAGGTCACTCGCCGCATCTGGATGCCTCCACCGCAGGTCCGCGTGCAAAGAGACCATGATGTTACCATCCATCTGTGAGAGAAGGGTGAACAGGTCAGGGAGTAGGTATATCCCACCACCTGTAGGATAACTGGCATCATCAGGTCTTTATATATTGGGCTAAAGACAAGCAATACTAGCTTGGTTCATTTAGAGGGTGATCCTTGAAGGCACTGTGTCTCAGCCTCCCATAGTAGTCACTGAAAACTTCTCAGAAGATGAGAGCTGAGAAAAAAGCATGATTTTCATTAATTTATCTTTCTCAGGGCTCTTTGGACCTCCAGTTAATTTTCTAGCTCTTAAGGCTGTTTTTAGAGGTTTGGCACAGGGGTTGGGCATGGCTGCTCTTACACCACTGTACCACAGACACCTCAGTCAAAGGTTGCAGTCACAATGCCAGCAAGGACTAGCCCAATAGCACCCCTTAATAGGGAAAACTACCTCTGTAAAGTTGCTGGAGCAGCTCACAGGCCACTTTGAACTTCCTGCTGAGAGAGTAGCGAAAAGTCTGTTGGGTCCTGCTGTTGCTTGCCTGCTCTGTTAAACCTCTGACAGCTAGGACAACCCAGAAAAGCCTAAAGATTGCTCATGGATGGTCAGCCCAGGGGACAAAAGACACTGTTCTCCTTTCCTCTGGAGCTCAGACCATCCATTCACTAGCTGAGGCTGAGGTTCTGAACCCCTGTGTACTGGCATTTAAAAAATCTAGTCTAACTAGCTAAAAGGCTGTAACAACAGAAAATAATAGTCCTATACATTTTGCTACTTTAAGGATCATTAAGTGAAACAATCGTACAGTCAGGTTTGCGAAAGAGTTAGGAATAGGAAGAATGCAACTGATTGCTAGTTTCCTGAACAGTTTTATGGTCAAGTCAGAAGTTTGCTTCATTAAGTGTCTGGATCCTGGGCAGGATTTGTGTGGTTTTGGGAGTAAAATAACGCCTATCACATCCCTCACCATAAGTGTTTATGATCACTTTACAAAATAGGCAATAGGCATTCTCCAGTCCCATGGAGAGGCGTCCATTTCTATTTCTCAGTCTTTTGCAGGTGATTAACTCCCATGGTCACAGAAACAAGCATAAACAAACATACTCTCAACATATACAATAAAAACACTGATACTTTTTTCAAGCAGTTTGGTGAGGTTGAACCTTCAATTTCTGCACTGGTCATAAAGCTCTGCTCTGCATGCCAATCAACTTTTATTTCCAAGCTTACATATCAGCAGTTTCTCAGGAGTTGAGGGAGGATTTTGGGTTGTGTTACAATTCGGGGAAGGTATAAAAAAGACACAAACCATTCCCATGGAATTTACTGCCATCAAAAACTGCTGCTAATGAATGGGTTTCATATTTCATCAAATCTCTTTTGGTTTCTTTCTTATGACTCATCTGGCAACTGAGAAAACATTTGCCAGCAAAGAAGGGTAGGAATATATTTTAAAAGCTAATTAAACAGAAATGTGCAATATACCCAAGACACAGAAAGAGTGGTGAATCTGGCCACTTCTCCTTGAGTTGCTTAACACCTCTCCTTGCCTAAGCTTAGACTCTCTTTTTTTAACACAAGTCTCAAATCACGGTTGAATGAGGGAAGTTGTACATTTCTCTTGAGGTTCTGACTTCTTGTAAGTTCTCGTATACTGAAACACACCAAATCCACATTGGAAATAAGGGAGAGGAGGGAGTGAAAACACGGAAAAAAAAATATGTACACAGCTCAGCTAAGGAGATACTGAATTGCAGAAGCATGACATTTTTAATAAGCAGAGGCCATAACACTACACTGACTCTTTGGATAGGCACTCAGGATGTATTCTTCTTTGCACTAGAGGCTGCCAAACAAGGAAAGGTTTTGTGTGGGGTAAAATCATTGAACCATTTAGTTTGGAAATGATCTTAATATCATCAAATCCAACCATTAATGCAGCGCTGCCAAGTCCACCATTAAACCATGTCCCTAAGCGCCATACCTACACACTTTTTAAACAGCATGATGACACAACCACTTCCCTGAGCAGACTGTTTAAATGCTTGACAACCCTTTCCATGATGAAATTTTCCCTAACAGCCAATCTAAATCTCTCCTGGTGCAACTTGAGGTCCATTCCTCTTGTTTTATCATTTGTTATTTGGAAGAAGAGACTGACCCCCCCCTCACTACAACCTCCTTTCAGGTAGTTGTAGAGAGCAAAAAGTCTCCCCGGAGCCTCCTTATCTTCAGGGTAAACAATCCCATCTCCCTCCAGTGCTTCTCACAGGATTTGTGCTTCAGACACTTCACCAACTTCTCTGTCCTTCTTCTTTCTTGTAGTAAGGAGCCAAAATGGAACACAGGATTTAAGGTGTGGCAGAGGAAGACCTAAGCATAGCCAGAAGTCTTTAAAGCTGTTTTGGATCCTTTGTGTTTAACAGTAATGAAAAACAGGGGATTACAAGGGCAGAGAGTTACAATTCCAAGGTAATTATGAGCTAGGAAACTCCAAAAAGAGGCAGAACTCACTCTGAGCACCCCTCATCATGACATCTGATGGGATGTTCCCGTTTTACAAAAGATATTTTCACTCTGCTAAGGAAATTCTTTGCAACTACAGCTGCAGTCCTGCCCATACCAATGTTCAGGCAACACAGGAACTCAGAATTAAAGTGCTAAACTTAATTTCTTGTCTTCTACATTATCTAACTAAACTGCTATGAAACCATGTGTAATATAAAAAAGAAATAATCCTACAGCTGCTGGGTGACACAATTCCCACATGTATAGTGCTCAGAGAAGACATGATAAGTATATCCAGCATAGGGCGAGGCTGGAATCACGTAAGACAACTCAACCTGTGAACCTTACTAATAAAAAGTAAGCAATAGCCTTTATTTTCTAACCAAATTACTGAAGGAATGAACTCTCTTTCTACCAGGTACTGTCAATGTTTTCCATAAATTTGCTACAGAATCCCAACTGTCTAGGTTAAGCACTCATAAATTCCCTTTTAGCCACGACTTCTCCTAACAGGCACCAGAGAGGCTGGCAGTTCTACAAAGAACGACTCAAGCACATCTTAAATGCATGTGTGACATTTTTAATATGAGACATACAAACCGTGAAGGGCAGTCTCTTCTGTTGCATGCAATGGGCTGCAGAGGTGGCTTGGGTGTCTCTCTGCAGTAGGATGTGTTGACTTCAGCCCCATCCAGCAAGCACCTCAACTGGGGCAGCTGCACCCCTTTGTGTCCACAGGAAGCCGAACAAGCTGTCAGTCTGTCCACTGACCACCGGTATTCTGCCAAAAAGCGTGGGACAGACATGTTAACACTCAAAAACAAACAGCAGGATTCAATTAGAAAAGAGAGAGTTGAAGATGTGCTCCGGGATGAAATACATGGACTTAGTGAAGGGGAGCTACCAATACCTACAAGGTACCTGATGTGAATCGCTGACTGCCTTTGGTGTAACAAATACAGGTGTTGTTGCTTAGAAGCATTAGGCACGGAAAGCCAGTAAGACGGTAGAGCAATTAAGTGAAGGCAGATGACAGTGACACAGGATGTTGCACCTATACTTTTAAAGGTGTGTGATTTAGTGAAGATGTGGTTAACTGCAGTTACCAGCAGTATCTGTGATTCTACGATCTTTAAACAGTGTGTTCCCCAATAGACAGATCATACAGATCATCTATCCCAAGATAAATGGGGTAGTTGCAACATGCTCAAAATTTTTTTGGAAAAATTGAAAGAAAAGTTAAATTCTTCACTACCCATCACCAAAAATTGGAGCAATGAAAGCTGCATATTCTGTTCCAACCCACCTGCACCACTTTGTTCTGTGGCTTTATCACTTTCATCTTATTTCTAGGATATTAATAACTGTTCCAGCATTTTTACAAGTGAAGGGTTTTCAAGAAGAGACTGTGAAACACTGACCTTAGCAGATTAACAGAGGGGCTTCAAGTTTAAGGGCTTTAAACTGTGATACCTCTGTACTGAAATTTCTGGACAAGAAAACTGTCCAGACTCACCATAAGTATAGCTCGAATCAGTAAGGTGTGTTTTATGTTCAGCAGACCAGAAATATCTGGTTGTTTTGGTAAAGTAAAACCACTTTAAAAGACACTGTAAGGTACCTGGGAGTCCTGAAGATCTATATCCACGGTAATAAAGCATCAAACCGTCTTTTTTCTGATGTACATGGTAATGGCTTCAGAGAGAAGTTCAGGATGAGAAAGGCAGTGAAAGACCTTTCCAGGGTAGCAGGACTGAAACTGTAAAATTACCTTGTATAACCAGGGACATTTTTTGTGTGAGCGAGCCAGCCTCATTTTGAGCAAGGCAGCTGAATTCACCATCAGTGAAATCACTGACATTGAGTATCTGAAGAATCCGGCCTGATGCCAGGAGATGATGTCGCAGACTGAGAGGCTCACCAGAGTAAAGCCAGGTGATGTTTGGGGTTGGATGACCATCAACAGCACAACCTAAAAAACAGAGCCATGAAAGAAACCTATTGAGTACCTAATGTGTACTGAACTTGCTATAAAATTACATGCTCTGAAGTGGCCAAAGTTAGGGGAAGTAGTCAATTCAATCCCATTTTCTCCTCATAATATCTCATAATGAGAAATAGTAATTCTGTAATAATGAATACCTTTTCATCTACTGGGAAAAAATAAGTCCAAAAGGCAGCTAATCAGCAATATGAAAAATCTCAGATCACTTATTATTTATATTAGGCCTTGTAGGGTTCCCAGTATTTTGGATCATCCTCATTTTGGTATTGAAGAAAGTGGGATAGGGAGGTAACACACCTAGTGTAAACTAAAGGAGTATGCTTGAACATGAAATACAAACAGAACTTGGTCTCCAAACTCCCTGTTTAAACCACAGGGCCACTTTACTCTTCCTCTCTCTCTTTTATTTTTTTTTTTTTTAATTATTATTTTGTTTTGTTTTGTTTTGTTTTGGTTGGTTGGTTTGATATGATTGGTTGTTTTTTTCTGGGGGTTTTTGGTTCGTTGGTTGGGGTTCTTATATTAAAAATCAGGAATTTTTGTTACACAAGACTTGTTAAAAAACCAAAGAGCCTTTAGAGGTTTGCTGGTGGTGGTGGTGGTGGTGCTTTGTCGCACCAATGGGCAATTTTCCAAGCAACAACCAACCAAAACCAGCAACTGAAAAACCCTGATGCTCTGAAGCATTGTGCAAAGCCTATGCATTATCAGCAAAGCTGGTGAGGCTCAGGTTCACAATGAGTTCTTTGCCTGTTGACCTCCTGACAGGAGCATATCTACAAGACTCTGTGGTCCTCATACTAGCTGCGCACTTTGCCAGTTTCATGACAAACTGCAGGAAATTTATGAGACTGGCATAACTGGGAAAAGGCAGCTAAGTTGCCTTACCTATTTCCTGGGAAAAAAAAGAAAATAACTAGGTGATTTCTGTGGTGCAACACACCCACACCAACTGCAGGGGTAGGGAGCCAGAAACACATGTGAGGGACAGCATGTATTACTTGGACTGCTTGTGGCTTAGGCTGGTCCGGCTTTCCTGTGCCTGTTTGCTTATATTAGTATGTATGCGAATGAATTACTCTATTGTATACAAAATCCCTTCTGAAAGAAATGTACTATATAAACATATAACGTGAACAATCACACTAGCACTGTTCAAAAGGAATGGGATAAAAAAAAGGAAGAGTACAAATTTAAAACACCAAAAATGGAATACTGTTCCAAGATTAAGGAATTATTGCATCAGCTGTCATCTCCATGTAATTCAATTATTAGTTATTAATGACTGAAACGAATAAGGATGTGAATATGAAGTCTCTGTAACTCCATTACACAATGAACAGTGACATTTTTGTTACTGCTCTCCCTTTCATTCTTGTCTTTCCATCTGAGGAGAATCTTAACTAACATAAACTAAGCAAGTATTGTTCCTACGGGAGAGATAAAATGAGTTATAGTTGCTGCAATGAAGATTTTATTTACATATACATTTCTTTCCTTAAGAATTGGCTGTATCTCACTGAGGTGCCTGTCACTGCAAGAATAAAAATACTATAGCCATAAATTTACCCAGGAAGGCTGAAGACTTTGATTTCCAGCCATCATCAAGACCAGATCCTTGAGACTTGAGGAACACATTAGTTTGTTTAGTAACCCTTGCTATCCTTCTTTTGACTTCGGTCACACCTCTAAACTAACAGTAGTGGACTGGGCTACTATGGTCTTTACTTGTGTGCCTTCTGCCATTAATCATACCTCCAATTACACTGTTCCTATGACAGAAGATGCTGCCTTGCCCATTTTCTTTATTTTCTTGCTTATATAGCAGAAGATCTCACACAAGATGGAAAATGCCAGTGGTGACCCATGGCATGCACCAGCCATTGCCAAACTGAGAGGCAGGTCCAGGTGCTGGGGAGAAACCATCTGCCACTCAGGATTATAAATATTGGTGCTCTCAGTGGTGCAGTGGCTATATGAGTCTTTGCTGTGTCCCCTGTTGCTGTCAAACTCTGCCTGCATCCACAGTGGAGAAGGGTTTGGGCTGACTACAGCTGCCTTCTGGGGCTCATTTACTCTTTGAAACTGGTGTGGCAGAGAGCAAGGGCTCCCCAGCAGAGGACTGACACACACACAGTAGGCTCTGCAGTTGCAGTGACAAAGTTGCACTGGAGAAGACCTAGTTAATGCAGATAAATGTAAAAAAAAAAAAAAAAAGGAAAGAAGGAAAGAAGAAGGCAGAATGAGAGAGTGCAAATTGTTCACAGTGGTCTCACCTCTTCCCTTTTTTAAAGTTTTATTTATAGGGGTGAAGAGTCTGCTATTTGTTTCAAATTCCTTGGCAAGGTCTAATGCAGTTTTATCCTTGGCAGTTATCTCTACCCAGCACTCATATTCTGGCTACAAAGACACAGCATTCTTTGCTGCTCCGTCCTTTTTCCTGTTTTTGTAAGCTCTCTATTTATTCCTGCTATGTTTTATCTTTTTGTGTTTTTCCCACTCTTACGCTGAAAATTTAACTTCTGCCATTTCCAGGATACTCATTCTCAGGTAAATATGACATGAGTTTAAGGCTGTCTAAGTTAAAAGCAATAGAAACCAAAGGAATATACAGGAAATTGAGAAATTTAACAATAAGCGGCTCTGGCTTTTGCCTACAGTATTCTAATTTTTTATAGTTACTTGTCTTTCAAGATAATTGTAGTGATTTCCACAGGTCAGCATACAGTCATGACAACTAACAAAGACATGCTTTGAGCTCAGTTTTACTGTTTGCATTTGCGAACAGTCTGCATAGTGTAAATGAAGAAAGCAGAAAGGTCAGTTTGATGTTACGCACAGAGGAACTGAAATTGACTTCAGCATGCAAACAGTCCTAGTTCATGCTGTTTTTCTTTTAAAAAATTAGTGCCAGGAAAACCTAAAGAATCTTCCTAGTACTGACTATTTTACTTGCTTTATGTATTATTTCTTCTTCCATAATGTATATATAAAATATTAGCTAAAGGAACAGCCAGTAACTGATAATATGGGGGAAAACCCCCAAAAGCTATTCCCTAGATATGTTTTACATGAGTAATTATTACTTAACAGTAAAACTTTACTAACACCTTTCAGTCACATTTCACAGCTGACATTTCCTATGTTTCCCACATGTATGGATACATAAGTTGTGGGATAATGCTTTATGCATTATATTATGAGAACTAGAGTACAATAAAACTCCATGTTTCATTAATATCCCCTTCTCATCTTCCACCAATAGTTTTAACACCATTTAATGCAGATTAATAACAGTCCCAGTGGACAGTGCTTTATCCTTTCCAAGCTCAACATCTGTCCCTACAATTCCTGAGAAGAAAAAACTGGCTTTGTTTCCAGACGGCACAGCTTTAGGTTGTTGAAACCCTTGGGAAGATGAGCAGGGAACATATTTTTGGGACTTTTTTGAACAGTGAAAGCTCTAGCAATAAGACAGCCTTTCTCCTTCAGTCCTTCTTAAGTAAAGAAAGAAAATATTGCCTTCAGCCTCCTTTCCAAAGTCTAATGGGACTCTCAATTCATTCAAAGCCACGATGGGTCACTAATCTGCAAAAGCTGGAGATACAAATAAAAATCTAATAAAATAACATCTTCTAGTAGGGAAAGTATTAATATTTCAAAGATAATAAGGGGGTATTTGGAAAGGGAAAACCAATGTTTCACAACAGTGCTAATAATTCTTGAGAGGAAAGAATACATACACACTGCAGGCCAAATTCAGCCCTCCATTACAGCTTTGCAGCAGTTTCTGAATGACTGTAGCTGCAGAAAGACCCTGGGCTACCACACTATTACTAGGAGAACAAAATACAAAGTATGCATCACTTTTTCACTTGCAGACTTGAATGATAGAAAAAAAAAAGTGCAAAGGCTGTTGATTTTAGGATTCCTTTTTTTTAGCAGTCCAATACCTTAAATCAACAAAACTATATAGACAGTAATGGTAAAAATGTCATGCAATTTTTTGTAAGTACTAAAAATATTTCATAATGTAAATACAAAAAATACACCATTGCCTTTAAGAGAGATATCTAATCTTGAAATATAGATTATTTCCAGGCTTTCATATTTATATAGCAAGTAGCTCTGTAATTTTACTATTGACCTGATGATTAGTCCCTGGCAATATTTCTAATCTTTATTAAAGATGGAATCTGAGTGAAGAATTCAGGTCAAGATCAGGTAGTTTCTTTGAAATCTTTTTAAGGAACCTGTCCTGCAGTTTAACCTCAACAACCTACTTAGCTTTCCAACTGTATCCCTGATGCTGCTGTGCTGTGGGAAGTAAAATTACCTTTCCCATTCTCCCAGAAGCTAATCAAGAGAAGTGAAGGTGTGTTCTGTCTTACCTTAGGCCAAAACGTGCCAGCAGTACAGCTGGACATCAAACTCTTGCCTTCTTAGCCTCAGGCCAACACTTTTATATTTGGAAATTATTTTTTAAATAGGTAGAGGTAGGTCTGAGTAACATGGCCTGGTTGTAAACACACACTACGGTATACAATTGGAATCCATTGGTATTAATGTTCAACCATACACTTGTAGTTCAGTTTTACACCCTTGCTATTCATCAGTGATCACTGCAAAATAGACGAATGTTTGTGCTGCATTGGTTCAAAGTATTTTAAATTACCAAAAATAAGGCTGAATTTGACAAGAAGCAAGCACACTGATTGGTTAGGGACTGCATGTATTAGGACATCACAAAGTACGATAAATGTAGGACAGAAAGTTCACAGAAAACTTCAGCTAGACTTACAAGCCAGAAGGCCCATGTCCTTGCCTCTGCAAGTCACAGACATGTACCTATCCAAACATAAAAATGGGAGATGAAAGATGATGGCTGACTACTATCTGAAATGCCTGGCAAAGATGGAGAGAAGGGGTTTTGGCAGTAGTATTGTTAATTACATTAAACCTGAAAC